GCAATAGCCAGGATGCCCGTAGCTTGAAAGATGATCATTTGGATTATCCGTTTCATGCTCATCATCACTATCGTGTTTTGAAAACAGTTGTGAATTATCATTTCCGTTTTCATAATCTAATTTGTCATCTTCTTCGCTTGGCTGATAGGTAGGATCATCCCTGTCTCTTATACACATCTAGATGTTGCTTTTGGGGCCCCAAGACACTTGTCTGAATAAATAAATAAAAAAATAAATAAATAGAAATGTGACCCAGGTCAATCACTGCAAAGACTAGATAGTATTAGGCGCGAACTTTAAAAAAAAATGTCCTCTTGTTTATGTCCTAGGCCTACAAGCTAAAAACGGCAACAAACATGTGGAGCGACAAATTCGTTTTGTAATTATTTTGTGAGGGGATATTGGGCCTAGGCCTCTCCGCTCTTTTGGGCCTACCGTTGTCCTCGTTTGGTCGCTCGTTCATTGTGCCGATGAGTACAGCTGAAAACGTCAGCCTTCTTGCTCCACACCGTATCTTACTCCTCGTCATCATGACAGGAATGAGAAAGATACTATCCTATACAGTTAGGAAAACACCAAATGGTGACGTAATTTCTGTCACGAAAACTGATTTTCGAAAAATCTAAAATGCAGTTGCAACGCAAGTAAGCTGTCTGGTACTCTTTAAAAAAGCGGTTTAAAAAATTGATTATTTTGTTTTTTCAGTAGAAACACACCCTATAGTATTTTTTCATTCGTTGTGTGTGTAATTGAGTATACAGCCACAAAAATTAGTATGTTATATAACTCTTTGGTGTAAAAATTAGAAAAGAAGTTAAACGATATTATCGTAAATCATGTTGGTTCGCTTTAGTTTATTTTTTACCTTGTTTTGTTTTGGATTGTGTATTTGCTTATAACGCTGCGACGAAATACATGAGCAATTATTTCAACGAAATGATTGACCCCTTTATTTTCATGTAATAGAACAACTATTGTATGACCTAATATCCCACACAATAATATGGAATATTTAAAACTAATAAATCAGACTTGTGTTTCATTTTAGGCCCAAACCAGGCCAAGCACAGCCGCCGAAAATGATGCATGCTGTGTGTCGCCAAGGCCTAGGATATTTCCCTCCATGGTTTCATAAAACACGTCCACAATGGGGTCAACAAAAGCTTAATACGAATCATTCTGTAACTGCAAAATATTTTTCAAGTGTTAGGAGAAGCATAAATTACTTCCCTCCACTCCACGGAAGACAAATCATACCCTACGGGCAGCAGACGTGTTACAAGCGGCCAGGCCGACGGATCAATTTTATTCAGTGGGGACCAATTTTAGGGGCTAAAATTGATCCAGTGGACCGATTTTTGCAGCTAAGAGTAGTCCGGTGGACCGACTTTGGCGGCCAAAATCTGTCCGCTAGACCTTTTTTGGCCCAGACCAATTTTGGCGTGACGCCTAGTTCCTGTAAAAATAGAAGCCCAATGGGCTTAATCTCGAGAAGAAGCCCATCTCGAAAAGGGTGCAGGTCAACTCGGCCCTTCACCAACTCGGACCATACCGATTCGGCCAACTCGGCCCCTAACCAACTCGGCCCATAACTGACTCGGCCCATACACCAACTCGGCCCTTGTCAACTCGGCCCTTAACTGACTCGGCCCATACACCAACTCGGCCTGCAGGGCTCATCAATAGTTAACAACAGTTGTATCTGAAGCCAAACTTCTCTGCATCATTTTGACATCTATTCTCAATTTCCGTGCTTTCTGCTCAAGAGCCTCTCTCACGCTTGGTTTTATTTCTCAAATTTCCGTTGGTCTTGGTCCTAACTTTTTTATTTATTTGTTTAAATCTTTAGTTTTGCCCTTTCTTGATTACTGTTCTTCTATTTGTTGTCTGTACGAGAAAAACTATAAAAAATATAGATAATATACAAAGGGCCGCCACTATTGTCTATGTACGCGGTGGTGGCAACTATGATGATCGTCCATCATATCCTAAACGTTTGCGTATGTACAGTATAACCTTTTTCCACTTGCAGTTAGGAGGAGTGTATCCAGAGTCTTGTTGGCTTCCCATTTCTATCTATAAAGGCTTCCCAGAGGACATTAATGTTCCTTTTTCTCATAGAAACCACAATCAATCTCGTCTCATTCGGCCATTGTGTGTGCATAAATCATTCGAAAACTCTACATACGTGGATGCTGCAAGACTTTGGAACACTCTTCCTCCGGTCAATAGAAACTCATATCATTCTAATTTGTTTAAAACAGAGGCTGCTTTCTTCTTTTTATCTCAGTGGCGAGACAGCAATGATTGAATATAATAATTGTTATATAGAGTGTACATATAAACAATAAATGTTAACAAGCTCAGGCAAGGGAAATCCAAATTTCTTTAAATGACCAAGCATGAATAGTGTATGACTAGCTCTTGAAACCATTTCTTTTACATGCGTGACCCATTTAAGATCATTTTGCAAGGTCACACCTAGTAGCTTCAGTTTAGAAACTGTTTCTAGCTCAGAATTATAAATGCTAATAGATTGAAAGAGGCACTGTTTTACTGAATGCAAAATTCATAGTTTTACTCCACTCAACAATTTGATCAACATGGGTTTGTTTAGAGAGAATTCACTCGTGGTGTTGGGCTTCAGCACATTATTCTCTCTGGGCATGCTGCTAACCTGTCTTTTTGTATTTCTGTTTGTGTTTTATATTCTGTATAATATGCCGAATTTATAATAAATAAATAAATAAATAAATATATTTTACTATGTTTAAACAAATTCATCTGGTTGTTCAAAACCAGATAAACCCCCCCAAAAACCCTATAAAACCTATTTTACTATGTTCCCATTTATTTTGTGTATTTTATAAACATGATCAGCAGCAGAAGATTTGAAGTTAATGAAGTAGGTGAACACACGTGACACCTTCACTGCAATCTATTTTTAGCATCTGCCTACTTCTGTCTTAGCAGAGTGCGCCCACATTCCTGAATGCGGCATAAAAAGGAATTCTGTTCAAAAACGTTGTGTCTGCTTTATTATCAAGAATACAGCTGTGCCTGTTTGTGGGAACGTTTCTTTCCGATTTTATTCTCAAGTTTCCAGGCAACTAGCATCAGAGTAGTGCATTTTCCGGCTTATTAAATAGGCCTATAAAAAAAGTCCAAAACTTCCATTAACATTATTTAGAAATTATGTTAATACTACAGTATATTATCAAAGTATTGAATCACAGTGACGAGTCTTTATATCCATTTATTTGTATATTTTATAAAAACCAGAATATGTTTGTATCAAAAATGGAAACAAATAAGAAAATACAAACAGTGTCTGCTTTACCCCAAGACTACCGTTACGTGAGAATCTCAGTATTTGTGGATGTCTTTCCACAAATTATACTAATTATGCAGCTGATGTTTGTGATTTTTACTAGATTTTTATACCTGTCTGTTAGTAGTGATGATTCGCCGTTGGTTTGGAATAAATAAATAAATAGATAAATGGAAACGTAACAAACAATAAAACAAACGTATGACAACTATTGATACTTATTTCATAAATCTCCATCTTATTTAACCCTTACGCTGGCAGCTCTTTTCTTTTTGTCAACCAGAGCGCCAGGATAACATTACCTCATCCCCTGTGCCAGCTAATTATTTAACAAGGTCACCGTAATGCTAATATATTTGATAGTGTATATTATTTGCTCAATAATTTATATTAAAAAAAAAATTATAAAAATATTAATCAACATTAGTTTTGTACATGCTTTTATTTCTGCATTTTATTTATCATTAGTGAATAAATGAGGAATATTTTGTCAAGGCCTATCACAAATAGTATATTGGGCCTAGGCCTATTAGCAGAGTATGTGTTTTCAAAGTCAAACTACTTGCTGATGGAAATCAAAATAACAAATCCTAGGCCTACGTATATTTACAAACATTACCATCACAGTCCAGGTTTAGCTAGGCCTTAGGCTACATCTGCCTAGCTAGGCCAAGGACCAGAACATCGTTTTCTATGTCAGTTTCTAAGTCTCCTTATTATCTAGCACAGCTGTAACAACTACAGAAGAATAACGTTTCTCAGCATTTCGAAACATCATATTTTCAACTTGCAAAAACTCAAACTTCTAACTAACAGAACAACACCCAGCAAGTTTCACATCAAAATGTGCAGAAATTTATTAGCTTTCATATGCAGTAGACACTATTTGGGTTAGTGTGAAAACAGCCATTCTGTGGTCGTTTTTTGGAAGACCTTCACCAATTCGCATTAATGCGAAGGTGGCATACGGCTGACAGTGAGCCTAATCGCATTTATGTGAAACTGACATGCACACCAACTGTGCGGTGCTCGCAGTTATGCGAAGATGGCAGCGTAAGGGTTAAACATTTATAAACATGATTAAAATACATCGTAATTAAATGGTAACGCAACAAATGATAAAAAGGGCGTGTCTCAAAACAGTCGACTAGTGACATTTGCGTTGTTTCTTCTGTAAAAAAAGAAAAATACGTAACACAAAGTGATACTACTGTAATATTTATTAATAAACTTCAAGAGTACCATAGGAATTTATTTGTAACGTTTCTTTCCACAATTTGTATACAGTACCCTCTAGGTTCAAGGGCAAAGTCGGTTGGGCCAAGGTGTATGGGCCGAGTTGGTTAAGGACCAAGTTGACAAGGGCCGAGTTGGTGTATGGGCCGAGTGGGTTAAGGGCCGAGTTGACAAGGGCCGAGTTGGTTATGGGTCGAGTCGGTTAAGGGCCGAGTTGACAAGGGCCGAGTTGATTCATGGGCCGAGTTGGTGTGGTCCATGGACTTCTAATTAAGATATTATGGGCGTCATTTAAGATAGTACTAACATTCAGACCGTATCTTTGATTATAATGATAATTATGAGCGTGTACAGTGAGTATATTAATTTATTATTTTATTGTACTAACATTTTAAAAATGTTAAACAGAATTTTGAATACCTAGGCCTAGGCCCTTTCCTGGCCCCTAGCCAGTTGAAAAATGTTGTATTATAGGCAGGCACTAGATAGTAGCGTTTCCAAATATTTACCGCATTCATTTTGAAAAGCCGCCATCTTTAGATTGCAAAAGTAAACTCGAAAAGAAGCCCATCCAAAGGTTTTAAAAAGAAAAAAAAAAAGATGCCATGCCATCTATTTAGGTTTTAAGCCCCTAGGAAGTGCCTATACTTACTATAAACAATAAGATGGCAATTCACTACTGTAATATTTATTAATAAACTTCAAGAGTACCATAGGAATTTATTTGTAACGTTTCTTTCCACAATTTGTATACAGTACCCTCTAGGTTCAAGGGCAAAGTCGGTTGGGCCAAGGTGTATGGGCCGAGTTGGTTAAGGACCAAGTTGACAAGGGCCGAGTTGGTGTATGGGCCGAGTGGGTTAAGGGCCGAGTTGACAAGGGCCGAGTTGGTTATGGGTCGAGTCGGTTAAGGGCCGAGTTGACAAGGGCCGAGTTGATTCATGGGCCGAGTTGGTGTGGTCCATGGACTTCTAATTAAGATATTATGGGCGTCATTTAAGATAGTACTAACATTCAGACCGTATCTTTGATTATAATGATAATTATGAGCGTGTACAGTGAGTATATTAATTTATTATTTTATTGTACTAACATTTTAAAAATGTTAAACAGAATTTTGAATACCTAGGCCTAGGCCCTTTCCTGGCCCCTAGCCAGTTGAAAAATGTTGTATTATAGGCAGGCACTAGATAGTAGCGTTTCCAAATATTTACCGCATTCATTTTGAAAAGCCGCCATCTTTAGATTGCAAAAGTAAACTCGAAAAGAAGCCCATCCAAAGGTTTTAAAAAGAAAAAAAAAAAGATGCCATGCCATCTATTTAGGTTTTAAGCCCCTAGGAAGTGCCTATACTTACTATAAACAATAAGATGGCAATTCACTTTGTCTTTATTTTAGGTAATGCTTAACTTTCGGGGTATAAATTATTTCATAGACTACATTGTCTTAAATTTAAATAAGCTACTTTGTCTTTAGTGGGGAGTTTGAAGCATGGGTAGACATTTTTGCAGGGAAGTTTCCTGGCATGGGTTTCCTACAACTTTCAATATAGATTAAACCTTTCTGGCATGTCAATCAAACTTAACAACTGACCAATCAAAACAGGGCCAGGAATATGCACGTTTCCTAAAAACACACATTTGCATTTTTTAGAGTCTGTTAGTAGGACCTTAGCAACAATATCCAAGGGGCAAGGCTCTGTGAATCTGTGATGCTGCAATACAAACATTAAACACTTGAGACTCATTGCATTGAAAATATGTTTGTTTTCCATTACAGTGTTCAAGGGATAGTAAAATGGATTCTACTAAAGAAGCAACTGAACGGACCCATATCGTGGACAAGTCCGAGGTAAGAACGCAAACCTTCCAAGGCCTACAAAATTTTATACAGTACTTCGGAGCATTTTTTGTTGAAGAAAGTGGACAATGATGTACAACTTGCAGACTAACAAAATTACTCCAAATATAAGTTGGTAGTTAAAATGGGGTCTACTTGCTAATAGTAATTTTTTCTATATCTCTATCTGTATCTGTATCTTGACGTACAAATACCAAAATACTGGTTGTCGCGTATGTTGGTCTGGTTGGTGTGTGTGTGTAGCAACTAAATATTATAAATAGACAATAATAATAATATTCAAAAGGCTCAACATAATAAACGTTCGCTAGTCGTAAAAAATAAATACTTGTCATGTAAAGCTCTTTATTCCTTTAGGTTTGTACATAAAAATTATATTTGCTAGTCATATTAAAGTAGGGGCTTGCTTGTCATTTTATGAATAGCAAACCTTTTTTTAATTTGATTAGCGACCTCCTTTTCTCATTCTCATGAACCATGAATAGCATTCCTTGTGTACATTAAAACTGGGAAACCTTAGGCGAGATTTAGTTTATACCGTGTTTAGAGAACCCGCCTTTAGCCAATAATGGTGTTTTTCTTATTTTTATTACACCTGCCACTGCCTTGAAATCTCCAAAAATAAGATATGTGTATTTCTTCCTAATTATATAAATTTAAAGCATTTAACCATCATATTACTACATTTAACAATTACTTTACAGTACATTCAACAATAAAATGTTATTTTTATTTTTTTCTCCATCTGGAGGATTATGGCAAAACCGTTTGCAAGAAAACAACATTTTTGGGGATGGCCTTACACCCATGGAATCTCCTCTTCAATCAAAAGGCAATATTTCATCAAAGTGTGCCTAAACAATTCAAAGCCAATATTTTATTTTTTTAAAATTTATTTGTAAAAATTAGCTACTCATTGAAATCATAGCATGGGCGAGTAATAACTGGTACGTATATTTTGTACCATGATCATTTTTTTTTACGAATTAAGAAAATCATACTGAACATTAAATACAGTATAAAGACAAACAGTGGTTAATAATTTATTATGCCAAGATTATATCACTACAACAACAAAGCTCAGGTTACATTACATAAGAATTGATATTGCAACGCTGGTAGTATCATACTTACAACCTAATAACGCAATAATCTTTGCAGCATTGAAGCATCAATGGACCACCCACGTATCAAAGTATATGTGGCAAAGACAAGCCAAACCAGTCACTCATCGCAAAAGTCATCTCATCGATTTTGAGTTATTAATACAGTGTTATAGAGTAAAATAATAGCTATAAAATGGTAAAAAATCATTCAAATCGGACATTTCCTTATGAAGTTACAAGCATTTAAACATACAGCTGTTTAAAGAACAATATATGAGAAATGAGCCTTCAAAGTTTATGATTTCAGGCATTACTCATGCAGAAACTATCATCAAATCCTTAAAAAGTGTTGTTTTAACATTGAAAATGGGGAAAATAACAGCATAGAATGATTTATAGATATGTAAAGATTGGTTTAGTGCAATAAAATAGATTTTTTAAAATTTGACATTCCAACAAGTTTTGGCCATTTTCTCTGAAACAGGATTTGCGACGAGTGACTGGTTTGGCTTGTCTTTTCCACATATGCTTCTCTCAATCCCTTACAACTCATTTCAAATTTTATTCAGCAATAGGGTGTGTTAAAGTTGTGCTGTCCCTTCTAACACAAAAAATGAAGGTTTACAAAATTAAACTTTGAATTGGCCATTTTGTTGCTTCAGGAAATTTATTCGCTTTTGATCCAACAATCAAACGAAAATCAATCAGTTTAATTAATTAACAGATAAATTAGTTCGAAAGATTCTCATGACTGTTGTATCGCGACGGTTGGAAGAAAGCTAATTTAAATTCACCTTGCTTCACTAATTATGCATTATGTATGAGATATCAGGAGTTGTTATGAAGATTTATGATTAAAGAAGAGGTTTGTTGACAAGATGATTACTCTCTTCCTCATCGCATGAGCTAGCTGTGATAGAGAAACAATGGATTATTTGGTACTTTTACTACGGTAGGCGCATGTTTTATTAGCCACATTTTATACAATTATTAGAATTGAATATGGCAAAAATAAATTGCCTCGTATGTAGGCCTACTGCCAGACGTCTAGTCTTTGAAGGCAAGACCTAGGCCCTAGGCCTACTTTAGATAGATAGGCCCATCACCCCTAAACTAGACTAGGCTAGGGCCTATCTAATTAGATTATAGGTCTAAGCGGGAAAACTGGCTAGGCTTCGATCTGGCTTGGTCATACATTAAATTATAAGGCCCAGTCCTCTACGCATCATCTGTTTTTGTTTACTTTGAGACGACATCTCTTGAGAGAATTGTATTCTATTCGAGGAAAGTTAGTCTACCTGTATTAAATAATTATGCCTAGGCCTCTAGGCAAGGCCCTAGTGTACACTACATATGATTAGGCCTAGCCCTAAATCGATTAAATTTAATAGCTCAGTGTCTGGAGATAAAGATACTGCTCAGTTATATACAAATACTGTACATTATTATGATGGTTGATGGATTTGCAATATGTATTCAAGTTTTTTGATATCATTTTCCCTTTTCTCTTGTGATTTTTAGGATGACTGACTAGGCCTATATTATAAAGAATTTTGGTCTGGGTTCTGATGCACTACTGGTATTCAACTTCATGGTATTATGTCAACCCAACACACAACAGTCTGTTGTAGCTATGGTGAAAATTGCATTTTACAGCTTCAGGTAGGTCTGACACAAGACTGTCAAATCATTGAAAATTATCTTAAAAACAAGACCTTAACTGACAGAATTATTTTAATATTATTTATTTGGCATGTCTATAAACATAATATTAATCAAATGTATAAAAATGGAAATCATATTTGCAGTGCACCAAACAGATTATTTTAATATAATATAGAAATCCTACATGATAATACTGTAATAATAAATGTATTAGCCAATTTCCAGTAGGAAATATTTGGCACCAATTAAAGGAAGTTGGTAGTCAGACTTCAAATGTGAATTAAAATGTATAGTATCAAAAATATAAGCCATCAAATAATTCCTATCCTAAACTTTGAAAATGATACAAAATTATGTTGTTCTCTCTCAATCCAGGAATTTGAGCTGTTCATTAAATTTGGTGCAGTACTGGAGTTGGCAAGCCTAATGTCAGAATGTTTTTGCAGACCAAAGAGATGAACAAAGTCCACTGGCATACAGTCACTGAAAAAAATATTCTGTGCAGTAATGTTTCTATGTTCAACAAACATCCTATTGACTTCTGGATATACAGCAGTTGTATTCAGTTGCTTCCTTTATGAGTCACTGCCCAAAGATTATTCAAGTAGTATGTGATGACCATCTACAAACAAAAAGCAAATACATGATGTAATGAATATATTGTAAAATCATGAATGTATACTGGAAAGGATGGTTTTTATGAATTTAGTTCAAATCTATATATATTTTGTATGTCCGGAAAAAGTCCAATGTGAGATCATAATTATACACGATTTAAATATTTTGTATGGAGTTGATTTTTTGCTAATAAATGGTCAGAAGGTATTTTATTTGGGCATTGTTTTTTTCTGTATCAATATATTATCTTTGTAAATAAAATTATTTAATTTTAATTTAAACTTTTATCATTCACTAGCAACAAAATACTTCTCCACTTGCAGAATTAGGATGTAAGTGTTACATAAAGTTTCACTCTAGAATTGAAAAAAAATTAAATATATCATCAAGTACAGTACAGTATGATCATAGACAGGCTAATAATAATAATAAATAATTTTTATGCTTGATTACATAACTTTAATCTAGCTTCAAATTGAGCAGGTCAAATTAAAAGAATTGTTTTTAAGATTATTTTTCTTGTGGAGAATAATTCCTGAAAATCATATTATTACATTTTCTGCTAATAATTTCTGTCATCAAATTCACTGGCACAGGGAAAATTGAGGAGAATAATTCCTGAACTTTATAACTACAATTTACATTGTGTGCTAATAATCAGATTCACTAGCACAGGGCTATCTGGGTCCCATATCTACCCTAATTCTTATTTTTTAAATAAAATGAAAAAACAAACAAAAAAATACACTGCAGGGCTCAATTTTTTACTACCCCGGTGTACAATGGCTAGTAAAAACTGCTCTGGGCTAGTCAACCTCCCTTCCTTTTTGCCCGGTGGGCTAGTGAACAAGGCCTACAGTACCGCCAGAAACTATTGCAATTTTTATAAGTTGAACAAATATTGCTTGATTTTTCACTCTCATAATGAAAGAGAATATGTATTAAATGACTCTTTAGTTCATTTAATACATATTCTATTGCAATTTTTCATGTGCGCAGGCTTCGTAGCTACATCGTAGCTGATATAAACAATCTAAGCAAGCCTACGAAGTGAATCTATGAAGCAAAAGTGTGTTGTTTATTTGTATGTGCAGAAAGACTGCTGTAGCTTATGGAGCTGTTTTTTCAATAAGAAAAACGTACACTTGATTTGATGGGAGTCTCCACTTCCACACTCGCTGTCGACGACAGGAACTTGTTGTTTATTTACAATTATTTTACCTCTTCTAACTGTCAAAAAATGATGTCCTCAATTTAAATACACACATGTGAAAAGATTGTTCATCAAATAATATTTTGTACGGTAGTTTTGATTTAGTAAGATAAATGATAAATATAAAGGAGACTTAACGTCAGTTGATTGCAATATTACCGAATGTCATGGAAAACCCAATAAAAAAAATAAACCTAGGCAACGTACACGCCAATCAAATATAATTTTTGCCTTTTCGGCATACTCCTGTATGAAAATTAAAATTAAAAAAAAAAAAAATTTTAATTAATTTTTATTATGCTGTTTTATTAATTTTGGTGTCATGGGCCTTGACTTCTCTGATGGACCACTGCCACCACTGCAGATACTATGGTATACTAAAAAAAATTGAATGGTGTAGGTGTTTAGAGTATGTACTGTACACCAGGGAACATGTGATGGGTTTCTTATGCAATGGGATAATGGATGGAAGAACATGATTTATGAGCATGCGATTCCATTATTGAAGTATAACGTAATATTGGTTGTATTCGATCAAGTACTATGCATATATAAAGTACTCTTGTAGCTGCTGTGTACAGAGCCTACTTACTTATGTTAACTAGAATTTTTCTTTGAGACTCATTCAAAAATTACCTAATTAATACAAGGACAGTTATAAGCCTATCTTTTCAAGTCATTTGTCACAAGACTTATAATTTTACTGTACAGTAACATCTAGTAAATGTATGAGCATGAACAAGCTATTGAATTGAATTAAATTAAATTTATTCGGCATCATTAAAAAGAAAAACATTACAAATATTAAACATTTAATTTACCAAATTGCATCGAGATAGATAAAAAGGCCCGAAGCCAGTAAGTTAAAATTTGCAGTAAAAATATAATGAATGTAAAAGTTGTATTTTTTCCCTTTTATATACACCCTTCAAACAGAACGATTGGAATACCTAGACAACCCATTAAAGTAACTTATTTCCAATGTGGTCTACAAAACCATCATAGAAGAGTGTATAATAATGATCATAAAAAGTAAAAAAAAAAATGAAATATATAAAAATCTATATTTTCTTGTCAGTCACATAACCATAAATAGCAATAATTTTGTTGGTTAAAAAGATTTCTTGGCCATTAAAAAAAAACAATACATTTTAAATAATTGCTGTCTACTGTACAACGAGGCCTACAGTCACAAGAAACCATGTTCCGTAGGCCTACACATTTCTAAGAACAGCACTGGAACATTTTTTTTTTGCACTAGTCTCGTCATATTCTAGGTGACGGAATCAATAAGCAATTGATTCTTTCAGGTTACTCACGCTTAGGTTAAGATAATACAAGGCATATTATGTTGCATGAGTTGTGCGCTAATGTCCCTCAGGATATAAGCCCTATTTAATTGCATCATTCAAAAGTCAAGGAGTGAATGACGATAAAATAATTGTCATCGTTCCTGCATGTTCACATCCAGAAATATTGATTATGTCACCTTTTCAGAAACCAACATGGAAAAACAATGTGACAATGTTAATAATCAATATACTGATCATTTCATAGAATTATTCATTATCTATTATTCTAATAATACAAAATGATATTAATAATAATATTTAATTCAAAAAATAAAATTATTAGAAATCAAGTTAACAAAATAATCTTTTAGGTTAATTTACAAACCTATTTTTATAAGATATTCTTATGTTTAACTGTACCTTTGTAATTTTTAATTTGTATTTTATTTGGTTAAAAAAAAAAAAATTTAAAGTATTACATTTTCACATTTTATATCATCTTTTGTTATATTGATATTTTGGTCAATATGGAATAGCAGCACATTATAATTTATAAATACCTTTTATTATTAACTATTTTTATTACTTATTATGATAAGTACTGTATGTGATGACTTGGCATAATCTGTTGTACTGTGTGCATGTTATTAAATTGAGTGTCCATTTCTGAAATTCGTGATTATAAATACTATCATGAAAGTAAAAATTTCTCATTTAGAACTCTATACTCAGGAGCTATGAATTATGTAAAACAGAAGTTTTAATGATGGTTCAATTTATTTTAAATATACCTGAATTTAATATAGAATTGTCAAAGAATTTTTGTATTAGGAATATGTTTATTGATTATATTTATTGTTTTTGTGTAGGTGTGTTTTTTGTATTAGTGATCTAAAATGGTCATATCTACATTGATTTTTCATTTTTTATGTTGTTTTTGACTCGCATTGAATAAATATAGTACTGTTTTCATCCTAAGATAACAGTACTGTATTACTATGTACAGTAGTACTCTAAGGAGCATTTAAATACTGTATAATATATTTTTAATGTACACATTTTTAGTCTGTTGATGAGTTCTTGCTATTGATACAATAGTTTCTAATATGAGAGAGTTATGTTTTTTTTTTATCTTGGAAATGGATCTTGGAAATACCACTTGGATATTTATGTTAAACTAAATTGACTCGGATATTTTTTCTTACTAGCCTCTAAATGGAGCCATCAATACAAGCGATAAGGTCGAGCTGATAGAGGACGGAGCTTTAGAAGAAGAGGAGAAACAGAGTTCAGTTACTGGGGCAAGCTTCAATACAGCTAATAGTATTCTGGGCTCTGGAATCATAGGTATGTGCCATAGAGATGCAAATTGTGACATTACATAAAGAAAGTGCCTTAATTTGGTGGGGAACCATGTGGTGATGTTTGGTTTCATCTGTGTTGTTTTATTTTTTCTCAATTTCTGGTTTTCTTCATTTAGATGTATTGCATCGCCAAAGTATAAAAAATACAAAAAAAAAAAAAAAAGTAAGCACTCTGATCTTCATGAAATAGCGCATATAAATGATGTAATGCAAGGTTACAGGCCAGAAGAATTTGAGTAGTAGCTCCTTAGCTACAATATTTATCTAATTTTTATATTTACAGGTATTCCTTATGCTATGATGAAGTCTGGTCTGCCTTTTGGCATTATTCTTCTGATATTGGTTGCAGGAATAACAGGTTGGTAGCAAAAGATATTCTGCAAAAATAAGAGAAATCATTATATTCTTTATTGGTAGCACAAAATAAAAGAATGTTTTCTTTTTCTCCTCTGAAGCTACTATTACCAAAAAAATAAAATCAAATTCTTTATCTCCTCAAAGCTGTGGTACTTTTAATCTCACAAATCAACCAGGGTGACTTTTTATAACTAGCTCGAGTACTTTCTACTCCCTCAAAATACAATCAAAGGTCTATAAAGAAATATAGGGAGGATGTTTGTTGATTGATGAGAAGTGACATTTTTCTCTTCTAATTTTCAAAATCAACATTACTATATCCAGTGAAGTTCTATAATAATATTCATAGCACAACATTCTGTGAAATCCTGGCCTATGCATGTTCTCATGCATGCCAATCCATTGCTGAAGTATGCTTGCAGTTACAAAAGGACCAGAAACTAAAATTATGGTTAATTTATTTTGTTTATGATGTACTTACCAGAGTGTTTACTTGCGTTAATTCATGTGATAAGAGGATAATAGTGTGATAATACTGTGTGGTTATTAGATTTCCGTTGGACAAGCATGGATCCCCTCCTGTTGGATACCTTGTGGGGTTGTGAGACTCAAAATTAATTTGCCAATCTAACCAAATATTTAGTTGTTTTGTCTACTGCTCCCATCGGGAACCGTAGACACGTTCTTTTTCCCATGAATCAATAAACCCCGAAGAGAAAGGGGGTTTGGGGGTTTTCCCCTGGGAAAATTTTGATTCTTATATGGCGAGAAATGAGCTTTTCCGACATAAAACCAATGATAAAAATATGGAAGAAATAAAAAAGGCATATAAAAAACACATTAGTTAAAAATTTAATTGAATTTTCTTATTGTAACAAAAAGTATTCAGCTCACGGGTCCTGAAAAAGTGGTTCTAGAATTCTTTTTATTTTTCTTTTTTTTTTTGCCCAAGGGAGGGTGGGGGGATCAGGACCCCTAATCATCCAGATCCGCCAGTGTGAATTGCGGTCGGGGACTGGATAAACACTCTTTCCCCTCTATCCCCTCCTTCTTCCCTCTTTCTTTTCTTACCTTTTTTTCCAATCATACAAAAATCTCCATAGACATTATATATTTTCTGCCAAAAAGTGGGGGGGGGGGCTCGGGCCCCTTGGCCCTGGTCCCGCCGGCTATGATAGAGATGCAGCACATGTTCAATATGAACGCCTTTTACCGTTAACAGTTCCTCCCTCTAGAGCAGGGAAGTACTTTTTGAGACAATAAATGCCAAGAGTTAAAAACAGCTGTACTGATGGTATAAGGCAGTACACACATAATATTGTGTTCTGAACTCTTCCCCCATCTTAAAACATAAAATCTCTCCTCCTTGAACCTTGGTTTTTGCTCCCTGTCAGAGTCATCCCCTTTGTCAGCATATTTCTAGAGCCACCTGTGCAACAGTGCAATTAATAATAATAATAAGATTTATAAAGCGCACAAATCCACTGCAGTAATGCTCTATTCTACAATAGATGAAAGATGAAATTGTATACATGTACAGTATAAAGTGCAAAAGGTGGGGTTAATGGCTCTCATTAATGCACAGTGCTGTATATTAATGTATAGCAATGGCACGTTTATAATAGGTGACAATATCAAGAAAAGACATTACTGTATGTATTTTATTTTATATATTTCAAAGTAATGCCATATAATAACTTTGACTGTAAAATAACTGTTCTACAGTCATTATTATCTACCACCATAATTAATATTTCAAAGTAGTACCATGTTAATGAATTTGACTGTAAATAAATTAATAATCATAGTCCATGTAAAATGGTTACACTCACTGCATAAGTGCAGATAAGTACAGTTATTGTTAACTGATACAGTATGCAGAAATTATTTACTGTAAAATAGATTATTTGTTTCCCTGAATATGAATATCAATAGTTTCATAGTTCAGTATTATCTAACTATATTCAAAGTCCATCTAGTAAAAGTACCAAAATACTGACTGCATAAGTGCCTCCACTATTTGTAGTAATTTCAAATAATATTTTTAACAGATAAATATCAAATAAGATGCAGAAATTATGCTGTTAATTGTTCATTTGCATCCCCGAAGCATCCACTCATCAATCATCTGTTCCATCATACAATAATAAAATATAATTCATATCCAAAATCCATCTTTATTGGTGCTTTAAACTTATTGAGTAATGCACCCATAATAATAATAATAATAATTCTGGATTTATATACCGCCTCACGTTGACACAACCTCGAGGCGCTTAACAACAACAGAGAAGAAAAACCAAAACAAATGCAAATGTACAAATATTTGGTTTTAGTTTAGTTTAATTAAGTTCAAATGATTTGTTTGATGATTACCAATAAATATTATTATTACAATACTAATTTTGAATAAATACTAGTAAACTGCAAAAAGTATTTAACTTTAATAGATCATTTGTCTCCTTAAGCTGGGCACTCACTACAGCCAACAGTCGAGAATGCAACGCCATGATGCACACTCAACGGATCATTTTTAATGATGATCCGTTTAGAGTGCCACTGAACATCAGTAGACAATGTTGCGTTGTCTAGCCATCATAGGTACGGCCGTTATACGATGCAGCTACCAGTGAGTGCCCAGCCTTACGTGTGAAGCATCACCTAAGGTGTGACTTTTTGTTTAACTTGCTAAGCATATTTTTTTTTAAATTATCAAAGGAAGGTGGGGAAAAAAAATTTAAAAATACCATTAAAATTGTAATAGATGGCACCTTTTATGGCCTTTCTTGAGATCCTATTGAGCCATCGTAAAGAATGTGATTTTTCAGTGTAATTAGTCAAGTATTGGATTGATAAATGCCTTATATTTAATTTAATTTTAAGGAATTAAAAGTTACTTTCACAGCAGGAGGTACATATAACCCAAAATATAATTTTATTTTTATTTGAAATCATAATTATTGATCAGTGGCGGATTCAAGGGTGGGGGATGGGAGAGGACCAGCCGACCCGGGCTCCCCAAAATTTTTCAAAATTATAAAAAAGAAATGAAGAAAACAAAGAAAATTATAATTTAAGTGTGATGAGAGTGCTTTTTCCGGCCAGAGGTGTCATAATCATAAACTGCCTTACATCAGCCCCAACCACGTTGGTCTAGACACTCCATCTGTGAAAGTCCCTCCCTGGCCCACTCTATTTTAACTGGATCTGCCACTGTCAGTGGGCAGCAGGTTTGAGAAAGAAGCTATAAAAGAGTCTTGGCTAATCAATTTGAACATTACGTTCCATTGAGTATGATCCAACCTAATTTTTCGTCTTCACTGTCCATCTATAATGGTGTGTTAAGTTGACTGAATAAGTGCATAGACCATTTGTCCTAATTTTCAGTGGTATTATAAACTAATATATGTTGTCATTAAAGGCTGATGGAACTGTCAGATGCACTGTTCCATGTTAGGCAGTGAAAGGGCAGGGTGATTTAGAGCTGACAGTAATCTTCATAAGTTGCTTCACTCATCATGAATAAAAGAAATTACAGAATATGTCATGAAACATGTTTCATTACAAATGTTGTCTGACAATAAAACCACTTGAAGAATATAGTGTGGGTTGATTTTCTGTAACTATGCCTAAACTCAATTGATTATCGATTATAAAGGCTTAATCTACCAATTTATGTTAATATTTATTTTATATGAGGCATGATTGCTAGCACATTTATTGTTCTGTTTAGACTATCAAATTTTATTTGATAAAAAACTGTGCCCATAATTAGTCATGCCTATTATATATGTGGTCAGGATGTGATGTCATCGTGACCATATTTAGTCATGCCTATTATATATGTGGTCATGATGTGATGTCATTGTGACCATATTTAGTCATGCCTATTATATATGTGGTCATGATGTGATGTCATTGTGACCATATTTAGTCATGCCTTGCCTATTATATATGTGGTCATGATGTGATGTCATTGTGACCATATTTAGTCATGCCTATTATATATGGTCATGATGTGATGTCATCGTGACCATATTTAGGCATGCCACATATTTTTTTCATAAATAAAATGTGATAGTGTTGACAGGGATTTACACTATACTGTTTACAGCCACCTTTATATTTTTTTTCAATCGGGAGCAATGGCAAAGCATTGCCTATAGAGAACTCAATCACTGCCCTTATAATTAATTGGCAGTGCCATTACTAAAACTAATCAGGAAGGAATGCTTTAAATAAACCAAGTTTTGTTATGAGGTTAAGGGAGTGATATGACAGGAATTATAACCAAGACTGTGGAAATGGAAGGCTAGACATAACAACCAAGCTATAGCTCAACTCAAACAGTACACTATGTTGTGGCTACCATTATGAAGGAATATAGAAAAACATAAGAGTGTACAGTAATACAGACAAGGAAAAAAAAATGTTTTAATTGCAGATTTCCTTTTTTCACATTTTTTTTATGGGTTTCGTCCTTAAATATTCCCATCAACTGTGTAATATATCTCATTAAGAATGCTAACAGACACAAGTAGGCATCGCATTTTCTAAAAGGCAATAGTATGCTGTTACGACGATCAGTAAGCACTACCGAGGAAATGGAACGAAAATGCAATGCAAGTGGCATTTAAAAGTCAATGAAATGCTGATCCAACAATAACCAGCATGGTGGAAATAAACCCGTAACGCTCGCAGTGTGGCTTCTTTAATTAACTGTGGTAGCTCCCGAATTATGTTCATCGTCATCTAATTAGTAATTGTATACTGTTGCTTAGGATTTTATTGATTTTATAATATCATATTAAAGTTTTCTAAATGGGAAACAAAATGATTTATTTTTGATACGAAAAATGTATAATTTAACCTCTATTTCAATCATATCGGTGTCTATCTTGATATTTAAATATTGATTATTAAGTAACGTTAATCAGTAATTATAATATTGATGAACTTTATGATGATGTATAAGAAGCATAACCACAGAGAAAACTAGAG